TATGTGCACCACATGTATGCATGGTGCCCTCAGAGGCCAGAGGAGGGCATCAGATCCCCTGGAACTGGAGTTACAAGTGGTTTTGAGCAACCATGTGGGTGCTAGGAACTGAACTTGGGTCCTCTAGAAGAACAAGTGTTCTTAACTGCTGAGCCATCTCTGTACCTCCCTATCATGGCCTCTTAATATGGCTTTGGCTTCAGATTTCAAGGATGGATGTCTAGATATTTGCAGTGTGTTTTTGTTTTGTTTTCTTCCATGCTGACACTTGAATCCAGGACCTTGCAAATGCTAGGAAGGTGCTCACACATGCCAGCTTTGCATTGCCTTTTTCCTAACCTGGCCTTGAAGGCATTGTTACTTTTGCTATATCACACTTTCTGTTCCTTATAAAAGGACTCACAAAAACTGTATCATGTTCAGGAGGACAAGACTTGACTTCTTTTATATGGGAGAAGTGTCAACTTGTGTTAAAAAGTACAACAAACCACATATGTCAGTGCTTAAGGAATCGTTGCTATCATGGTTGGTGCCTGGAATCAATCACCTAAGTTGTTTGTTTTGTATTTATTATATACAACTATACAGTGTTCTGCCTGCATGCTTGAAGAGTTCAGGAGATGGTGAGCCGCCATGTGGTTGCTGGGAATTGAACTCTGGACCTCTGGAAGAGTAGCCAATGCTCTTAACCACTGAGCCATCTTTCCCTAGGCTTACTCTTTTTTATGAGACAGGGTTTCTCTGTATTGCTTTAGGAAGTTGTCCTGGAACTCGCTCTGTAGACCAGGCTGGCCTGGAACTCACAGAGATCCACCTGTCTCTGCCTCCCGAGTACTGGGATTAAAGGTGTGTACCACAGCCACCCAGGTCCACGTCCAGCCTGTTTTAAAGGCTTTGTTTTAGTTTGTAAAAAAGAAGACAATTACAATTTAGGATTAAAGGTAAAATTTTGCTAAGGAAGGGCACCTGTAAACTTCCACCTCTGTGAAAAAGTTAGGCACTTGCTAAGCCTGTTTCTTTGTTGCTATTTTTTTGAGACAGGGTTTCTCTGTGTAACCACTTTGGCTGTCCTCCCAGAGATCTGCCTGCCTCCCAAGTGCTGGGAGAGTGCCACTACTGCTTCCTGAGTCCTGGGATTAAAGATATTTACCCCAGCCGGGCGTTGGTGGCACACGCCTTTAATCCCAGCACTCGGGAGGCAGAGGCAGGTGGATCTCTGTGAGTTCGAGACCAGCCTGGTCTATAAGAGCTAGTTACAGGACAGCCTCCAAAGCCACAGAGAAACCTTGTCTCAGAAAACAAACAAACAAAAAGATATTTACCCCAAACTGGGCGTTGGTGGCTCATGCCTTTAATCCCAACGCTAGGGAGGCAGAGGCACAGGGATCTCTGTGAGTTCGAGGCCAGCCTGGTCTACAGAGCGAGTTCCAGGATAGTCTCCAAAGCAATACAGAGAAACCCTGTCTGGAAAAAACCAAAGATAAATAAATAAATAAATATTTACCCTAGGCCTAATTACAACTTTGGTTTTATACAAGAAAAATACTTCATGAAGTGATAGACACCAAGAAGTCTGTACTAGTTATTATTGCTATATGTGGTGGTTTGAATGAGAATGGACCACAAAGGCTCATCCCGTGTTGGTGGGGCTGGTTGGGAAGGATTAGGAGGTGTGGCCTTGTTGGAAGAGGTGTGTCACTGGGCCAGGTTTGAGGATTAAAAAGACTGGCACCTTCCAGTGTGCCCTCTCTGGCTCCTGCATGCAGATCAAGATGTGTACTCTCAGCTGCTGTCCCAGTGCCATCCATGCCTGCTTGCTGCCTGCCACTTTGCTCCCCACACGATGATCTCCTATCCCTCTAGCACTGTAAACCCCAATAAACCCATCTATAAGTTGTCTTGGATCTGGTGGTTTTTGGTTTTGGGGGCTTTGTTTGTTTTTGAGACAGGATCTGGAACTTGAATTGTAGATCAGGCTGGCCTTGAACTCGAAGAGATCCACCTGCCTCTGCCTCCCAAGTACTGGGATTAAAGGCATGTGCCACCACCACCCAGCTGGATGTGATGTTTTAATCCAGGAATAAGGAGCACAAGCAACAAACTGTTGAGTAAGAGGACCAGGGATGTGAAATAATGAAGACAAAAGCAATAGCTGGAACCAGGAGGTCTTGAATGAGCTGATGATTTATTTTGTTTTTTTTGAGACAGGGTTTTCTCTGTGGCTTTGGAGGTTGTCCTGGAACTAGCTCTGTAGACCAGGCTGGCCTTGAACTCACAGAGATCTGCCTGCCTCTGCCTTTCAACTGCTGGAATTAAAGGCGTGTGCCACCAAGGCCAGGCTATGAACTGATAATTTATGCCAAGGAAGTTTATTAAGTAGCACAGCATCATATATACTATTTATGGGGATTGGGAGGAATGGCTAAGGTCCAGCAGAGAGCTAAGTCACACATGTTGGCAAAGACAACATAGGATACCTCTGACACAACTCAGGACTGATAACCACAGTCCAGGGAGAAGAGTTGAATCATCAGAAACCACAGCCTTGACTCTTAAGAGGCATCAGACAGGCCTTGCAAGTATGTTCCTGGACAAGGACACAGAACTAAATTTTCTTTATCCTTTCATCATAGCCTCTAAGATAGTCTTGGGTAGGTCTGGTCTCCCCACTGTTATCTCAGCAATAGAAAAGAAAAGTAAAATACACTGTATCTTCTTCCTGAAAGGACCAATGGCTTTCTGTAACTCACACAAAAATACTGCCTGATGCCTCAGTTTGTCATTTGTCACAGCTGAGGGTGATGAATGCACACAATGGGAAGAAAGCATCAGCAAATCAGCTCAAACTCAGAGGGTAGGCTTAGGGGCTGAAGAGGTTGCTCAGCACTTACCGCTCTTGCACATGACTCAGATTCCATTCCCAGCACCCACTTTAAGCAGCTTGTAACCACCTATATAGCTCCAGCTCCAGGGTATCCAATGCCTTGTATTTTCAGGGCACCTGCACTCACACAAAATTTCCCCTACCAGGCACATGCACATAAAAACATATTAAAAGACAGGTACTGGGGCTGGAGAGATGGCTCAGCGCTTAAGAGCATTGACTGCTCTTCCAGAGGTCCTGAGTTCAATTCCCAGCAACCACATGGTGGCTCCCAACCATCCGTTATAAGATCTGGTGCCCTCTTCTGGTGTGCAGATGTACACGGAAGCAGAATGTTGTATACATAATAAATAAATAAAATCTTAAAAAAGACAGGTACTGAAGCCGGGTGTTGGTGGCGCACGCCTGCCTTTAATCTCAGCACAGAGAAACCCCTGTCTCAAAAACAAAACAACAAAAACTGAGGTCAGGCTTTGGTGGTGCCCACCTTTGATCCCAGCACTGGGGGAGGCAGAGGCAGGCAGATCTCTGTGAGTTCAAGGCCAGCCTGGTATACAGAGTGAGTTCCAGAACAGGCTTTAAAGCTACACAGAGAAACCCTGTCTCCTAAAACCAAAAAAAAAAAAAAAACAACAAAAAAAAACTAACTACTTTAGCAGTACTTCAAGATGTAACTTCCGGTGAGTTAAAAGGTTGGTTTTCTCTAAAATGTAACTTTATTTTGTTGCCTTTCTTTTTCTAAAAAACACTTTGTTGTTTGACCCCTGGAACTGGAATTATAGACAGTTCCAGGGGAGCTGCCATATAGGTGATAGGAATTGAACCTAGGTCCTCTAGAAGAACAGTCAGTGTTTTTAACCAAAAAGCCGTCTCTCCAGCCCCTTTGTTGGTTCTTTTGAAACAAAGTCTTGCTTTTTAGTCTTGGGTTGCCTGGAATTCTCTATGTAGACTGGGTTAGCTTAGAACCCACCTTCACCTGTTGCCTCTTCAGTATTGGGATTAAAGGTGTGTGCCACCATATCTAGCCAAGTTGTTTTATTTTTGAAACAGGTCTTTACAAATTTCAGACAGTGGCCAGGCACTGGTGACACATGCCTTTAATCCCAGCACTCGGCAGGCAGAGGCAGGCGGATCTCTGAGAGTTCGAGACCAGCCTGGTCTACAAGAGCTAGTTCCAGGACAGCCTCCAAAGCCACAGAGAAATCCTGTCTCGAAAAAAAACAAAACAAAACAAAAAACCAAAACAAACAAAAAAACCCGAATTTCAGACAGTGGTCTTAAAATTTGTAATTTTTCCTGGCTAGGCTTCCTGAATAGCTAGGGAGTACAGGCATGCACTGGCAGGCCGGATTTATGTTCCTATTATCTTTATTTACGTGTGTGTGTGTGTGTGTGTGTGTGTGTGTGTGTGTGTATGTGTGTGTGCATGGCTCATGGCTAGAGGTCAAAGGATTACTTTTGACAGCAAGTTCTTTTCTGCTATACAAGTCCTGGGGATTGAGCTAAGGTCCTAAGGCTTAGTGACAGGTGCCTTTACCTGCTGAGCCACTTCAGTCAACTGTATTTAAATACTATTTATTTGCTTGTTATTCATATAGTCTCACTCAAGCCCAGGCTGTACTGAAACTGATTTTTTTCTTCTTCTTTTTTTTTTTTTTTGTTTTTTTTTCGAGATAGGGTTTCT